CGTTTTCAGTGTTAATACAGAGATTATTTGACACGAAGCTAAAAAACTTGTCTGGATGGAGATCGTTTTCATTTTAAAACGCTGTTAGGTTGTCATGTTGATGTTGGTGCTGCACTGGCTAAAATATAAAAAGACACTTGGACAGACTAAATATTAATATCACATTTTTTCTTTGACTCACTACTCATCATGCTGCAATCTTCCTCTGCCAGGAGCCTTCTGTAGGTGCACTGTGGTATGCACTTACTCACAGGGTTACTCATATTCTCAACAAGCTGTACCATGTCCAAATCACTTTTTCTCACAGAAAAGTTTTAACAGTGGAACAACAGAGAGCATGTAATCACACAGTACAGAACACAGAGACAAATAGCAATTACCTTGTTGAAAGCATGTCATCCACTGACTCACATTGGCTTCTTATCTCTCTTTCTCGGTCCCAACTACTGTATTATCCTCACCAGGACAAACTCCTCACACTTTTTTAGCCTGTTTCCAACCTGACAGCCACCCATAGTGTTCAGGTATGATGGAGATTTGTTGAAATGGCAGCTGCTGATTAAGAGACAGGGTTCTCCCAGGACTCCGAGGCTTCCCAAGACGCACAGACTTCAAGTAACATCTTGTCAGAAAAAGGGTGGGTCAACAAGGCTTCAATAGTGCTAACTGCCAGACAGGACTATTATTTACCATCTCCTGACATGCAGCAGCAGTAAATCTCAGCTCATTATCAAGGCCTCATACACACTGTTGGTCATTTGAGTGATATACTCGAGCTTGAGGGGTGTGTATCGACATGCTGGTTTGCTGTCAGCCAGGAAACAAATAACTACTGTTGAGGGATATAGGTTTAAAGTAAAATATGGTAAAATGGTTTTGGTTGGTTGGGCATGAAAATTAAATTAATTTCTTTTCAAAGTTCACGCTTGAAGTTCTGGTTATATTTGTTTTCAGTGGATGTCTGTGAAGCACATTGAGGAAGTTCATAACACAATATAATGTGGTTCATATTATGTCATCACAAAACATCATGACACTAATTAAGCTATTTCTGATTTGTTGTAAAGGACAAGGGAGGTGATATTCATATTTTTTCTTGTTGTCAACAAATATCATTAGTGCTGCAGGAATGTGTCCTGAAACCTGGAAATTAGCATTTTAGCACTTCTGGTTCCCTCATCCCGAAGTCAGTGGGTTTTTCGTTAGATGCCTGAAAAACATTTTCACATTTTATTCTACAACATAAAATCCATTGTAAATACTCCAGTCCTCACTCTCTCTAAGTCAGACATCATCATGTTAAACATGAAAACTGATCCACTCACCAGTCCACCTTCACAGCCTGGTTGTCTTTATACAAACTGTCTCTAACTGTGTCAGAGGAAAAGCTTCTGTAGAAGAGGTCAGAGCTAAATCAAACTACAAGTTGAAGTTTAGTGGTGGAGATGCTGAAGTCATGTGACCGTGGTGTAGTTGGTTTATAGCCTAGCATTAGCTTTTTACTTCTGCTGATTGTATTTAGGCTTCAAACTTCATGAAGTGATGTTCTTTGGTGGACGGACCCAGGGTGACTCTTCCAGCCAACTTCCAGGATGGCTACAAAAATATGTCATCCCTGCAGCACTCTATACTATACTAACTAAGTATTGCCTATATAGCCAAGGACGGATCCTACTGTGCTTCATTGTTGTCCGAAGACATTGATGAACCACTCCACTGCACTGACAAACATGTTCCTTCATTACCACAAACACACACACTGTAGTTAATTCAAAGTCAACCCTGCATAAACCTTCCTGCTGCCATAAATACTTACAAGTAGTACAAATGTGTATTAATCCACAGCTGAAAATAGTCCTTATGCACTATTTCCTCCTGTTTGAGTGATGTTTGCTAAAAAAGTGCCCAGCTTTACATTACCTTTTAAAAAATGGAAATTACATGTTAGTGACTAGATGATTTAGGGGTTCCAACAGGGTAGGGAAACTGGAAAGGAATGAGAGACGGTCTAACACATCTGGGTCTTTTGGTGGGATTTATTGACAATAATAAAATTATACAATAATACCAGCCTTATCATTTAAAAACACAGCATTTTATGACTATACAAAATATTAAAACCATTCACTATTTTTATGAAATTTAATTAAATCTGGAACGCATTGATCCATAATTAAATCAGTATTAATCCAATGAGGAGGTAATGATGAAACTGGCGAAATAGATTCCTGCAATACACTTGGCAGGTGTTTCTAATATTATTTTGTATTATAGTTTTATGATTTAGTTGAATGCTGGGAATCCCAGTGTGCAATTACTTAACTGAGCTTTGAGTCACCCTCTCTGACAAGAGAGAGAGAGCCAGAACGACAGCCAGTTTACCCAGGTAGTCCGTCAGTGAAGCACCCAAGCACTAATCTGAGGCGGCACTGCCAAGATCTCTGTATGCTGCTTAGAGGCGGACCAAGGGAAGCGTGTTTTTGTGTATGGAGCGTCTGTTTCTTCTCACTTCTCCCCTCCTGCCCAGAACAGAGGGCTCTTTATGGTTGTTTGTAGGGGAAGAGTGGGCCTGACGGCAGAAAATTGGCTCTCAGACAAGGCCAGCAGTCTGCAGGCACTTACTGGAAATGGAGCGAGGGTCAAGGCTCTGGGTTGGTTGGCTCGGCCTGAGCTGGGCAGGGCCGGGCCGGCCCGGGTGCAGGTTGGCTTTCGCACAGAGACAGTGAAAGAAAGACTGAGCAAGGAAACTCTGAAGGGCGGATGGAGTGCAGAAATCCTGCCAAGCATGCTCGCTAGGCATGCTAACTACAACCTGGAGCAGTCACACTCATTTCACCAGACCCTGATGAGTCTGACACCCCTTACAAATTTTTATAAAAGTTTCAAGATTTAAGGTTCTGCTGAAGCATGGCAATCTACACTATTTACTGACCTTAATGCGTCTGTCTTCAGTACTGGTCTTGGTTTGAGTCCAAAGTAGTAACTAAATGCATCATGTTGATTCCAGTCCATACACCTTTTTATCACACACACACACACACACACACACACACACACACACACACACACGCACACACTGTGTACCCAGCATGCACTTGATGCTGCCAAGAATCAAAACCACACATATAAACACTCATTTGTTCACAGCAGCCATCGAGCTGCTAAAGTGGCAGCTTTAGCACCATTTGCTCGTAAAGACAGTTATTGTGTTATTTTCATTACATTGTATTGTTTTGTGTCACAGTGTCACTGTGGGTATATTTTTCTATTAAAGAATTGCTCCCTATTGAAACAGACTGAAGAGAAACAAACAGACAAAAGAAAATTGACAGATTATGAAACTGAGTTTGCTAATAAGTGTGGAATCTTTGACAGGTTTCAACAGGGCCAAAGATTCTTCAACACTTGACATCATTTCTAACTAACATTTTAATCATTTTTACTCAGCCTCATTGTGGGAGGTAGTCTGTCTGTTCAACCAGCAATCAGTTTCAACTGAAAGTCCATGTACATTTAAATCCCTCTGTTATTATACAATACTAGTATCGGAAATGCCCCTGACACGGCCGAATATTTGGTACCAGTGTGAATGAGTACCAACTCTATGCACTGATCCGATGCTACATAATTTATTTAAAAACTTTATAGTTACACAGTCGGATGAAACACCAGTTTTCCTGGAATCAGTTCTTCTTTGCTGCTCTAAAACAGTAGCCTATAACAGTAGGACGTTGGGCTGTTTAGCCACTCACAACTACTGTAGTAGAATGGTGAAGTAGAATTGATTTCTGGTAAATAGCAGAACGTTAGCCAATTTTAGCCATTATCAAAATGTCAGCAATTTAATTTCAAGGGGCAGCGCTAGTGTAAGGAATTGTTATTTCCATTTATTTATTAATGATTGACCGTCAAATTAGATGATAAAAGAGCGGGTTTAACCTGAGATATGCAATACAACGATAGCAATCATATTAAATCTATGCCGGCTTAGTAGTACACAGATGCTAAATTTATTTAATGCGATGGTATTTTTTACTCGGTGTCTGCTGATGTACAAGTTCAGGTATCAGAATCGGTATCAAGAAAGAAAAAATGGTATTGGAACATCCCTAGTCTTGATTGACAAAAAACAGGAATATAACCACACTCTGTCATTCAGCCTTTTCTCTATTAGTCATCATTTCTCCTGCTTTCTGACGGCTGTATTTCTACCAGGTGTTCTTACCACACACAAAGGAACACCAGCCCGCTCCTTAGAGCTGAAGAGCAACAGGGTCGACATAAATAGCAGTGCCCCTTCAAAGGGTTGTGCCACTGCCGGTGGCTAGCAGACGTTTTTATCTAGAGTTCAGCGCCTCAGGCCCATTGAGAATTACAACACCCACTTGTCTGTGTCTCTGCAAGCAGAGCTGGTAATTACCTCACAGAGATGACAAATTTACTGTATAGCCTGGAGTGACCAGCAGGCTGTCGGAGAACTTCAGGCGCGACTTTTCTCTCTTGCTAACGGTGGCCATAGGCACCCACTTAAAGTCTTGAGCATCAGGTTTCAATCTCTTATCATAGATCATGTAATACCTGATGGGAGAGACCCTGTAGTTTTGCCCACCCAAAAAGAGAGAGAGTACGCTTTCTTATAGCTGTGCAGTTTGGTCTTGACTTGTCTATAGCTCTGGGGGTTAACAGAACAAGGTGAACAAAAGGAGATTATTACGTATTAGCTGTGGGACTGGGGAAAGGAAAGGGTGTAAGTGGATTGAGAATGCACACTTTTGTGGAATAACAGAAGTTAAGGCTTGTCTACCAACATCATCCATGATAACCACACACGTAATACAAGTAATCAAATTAAGACAGGATGCCTCCCCAACAAAATCTCCCACTATCTTCTTCTCTCTTTCTGTTTATCTATGATCCTCATCCTCCATTTCTTCATCACCCCACTTTCCTCCTTGTGTCATCCATTAACAATTCATCTAATTTCTACTCCCTCTCCACAGACCTCCAGGGCTGACGGGCAGTCCAGTCATCTCAGATATTTCCCTGATCCGTCTATCGCCCCATGCAGCGGCTGGAACGGGTGAGTCACCGTTCAGTCCACCACATCCGTACGTCAGCCCCCACATGGAGCACTACCTACGCTCGGTGCACGGTAGCCCGACCCTCTCCATGATCTCAGCTGCCCGAGGACTGAGCCCCGCTGAAGGTGAGATTTACCCCACAGGCCAGCGTTGTAGAACCACTAAGATGTTGACTTTTAGGTGCCATATCCACAAATTTGATGTTGATAGTACCGCAGCAAAAGAAAAACATCAGAGATAGAAAAAGAGGGAAACTCAAACACATCAGTAACTGAGAGGTGAGACTGGGGAAACTAACCAGAAACAGTCGTATCCTGCTGTTGTGCCCCAAGATGCACATAAAAAAGGTAGTCAGGTAAGTTAACAAATATTATTTTATACATTTATTAAAGAGAGATACAAAACAAGTATTAATTGAAAGAAAAAAAAAAATCCTGTAAGGAAATGTCTTTGTTCTGTTATGTTCAGCTATTCAAGCTAGCTAGCAATTACAATCTTATAGGCAAATTTTCATGCTAACGTGTTTTTAGATTTAAACTAAGCTTTAATAAAACAAATCTTTAAGTGTGTCACCTGGGTAACGTAGTTTGGTGGCAGTTTGTGCTCAGGGCTGGGAAAACGTTTTTAGCGAGCTAAAATGCTCGTCTGGATGGAGTTCACACGTATTAGAGTGGATGTAGCCGTAGAATTTATACGCTCTATGCTGTTAAACCAAGTCTGTCTGCTTTGGTTGGAGTTCAGTGGAAAAAAAAAACACTTCACATTCCCCTACATAGAATACTGAGGCCCACCTTTCATTCCACATGCTGGTGATTTGTGGGTGTCTCAGGCATATGCTTTGTGGTACAGGCAACACATGGAGTCCCTGAACTATTACGTTCACACGATGACAGACCTGTCCCCGCTACTCCTGGTCAAACAACAGGTCGGGGCAGACAGGAGCCACTGGCCTGCACCAGGAACCAATAAATCACCAAGCACATGCTGCTGGCAAATCATAGCTTCCAGCCTTTCAAAAGAAGCAATGCGGAAGAGATGCTGTCACTGATAAAGCGGCAGGGACGCATGGCACTCAGTGGAAGGCAGAACGTAAATAAAGTCTGGAAGCTCTGAGCTCAGTGGAGCATGTATAAACCTCTGATAGGGATACCTGGGTGCCAGGCATGTGTTCACGGTGGTTTGTGAAACCCTAGGCCTAACTGTTTGGGTAGACTTTAAAAAAGGACCAAGATCTCTGCTGTAATAACATGTTTATTTTATAAATTGAATTTAATTACAATTGCAACGTTTGCTCGGTAATTGTGCACAACTTTATCTGCGGTATTTCTACAGCATCTCTGGAACCCCGACGTAAATGAAAAGATGTTGTAAAGGGATGTTGTAATACCTGTTTAGTACACACTATATATCAGACTAGTTGGTAACTATTGGATAGATCTTCTTCTTGGCAGCATCAGCACATTCAATTTTTCAAAGAGAATAATTGATACATTAAGTCAAGTCTCAGACTTTATTTACCCTCTGCCTTTCTATGAGTATGAAACTATGAACTATACAGTTACCTCAAAAATCCCCCCAATCAATTAGTAATAATATGCAACACTACTTTCTGATAACAAACCACAATTGAATGCATTTTTTAGAAAATAACAGTGACACCATCATGATGCAAAACGATGTGCCCAATATCTCTGCTCTCCTATGGAGTAAACTTTTGAGTGTTTATAAGGGACGAGGACGAGTGAACAAGGGAATGAGTCTATAAAACTAAGGAGTTGTGCTTGGAAAACATCCTTGCATTTACCAGTTTAGTCAGGTTTTACTGGGAGCAGTGGAAGTGTAGCTGCCTCCTCTCATCCCTCTGTGTTCACAAGTGAGGTCACACACACACACAGAATGCTACTCCGCGGTGGTGGTAACATGATCTGGCAGCCATGGAGAAACTAAAGGCATATGCCCGGGCCACTGCTGCTGCCTGTGCACCGTTACCTCAGCCATGGCCTAATAGGTTCTGATGGATCCAGAGTTTTGGTTTATATGTGCGCTTATGTGTGTGGGTCTGTGTGTGCGCAGAGGGTGGGGGGCTGTGGTTTTGCCTCCCTAGTATCCCACTTGGCCCCCAGCCCCTGATACCAACCCCTGCTTCCCCTGTTTCCACCAGCATGCATATTAAACCACATATCGGCCCACACCCCTGTCCCCTCCACAAACCAACACCCACTGGGGGAGAGAGGGAGGGAGGGAGAGAGCAGGAAATGGAGGGAAGAGGGACACAGAAAAACCAATCCATCTCTCACTCTTACACTTTCTGACACTTTTAAACGTGGCTTTACTGGGTGCAGGTGTTAACACATTTTACGTCAATATTACCTTTACACATGCAGCATTTAAGGCTTCCTCAGCAGTATGTACTGTATGTGTGTGTGTGTGTGTGTGTGCGTGTGTGTGTGTGTTCACCTGCACCTTGCGTATGACTTCAGCCCGTCAACCTAAATGTATACACAACACGAAAGAGGTGTAAGAATGTGGTATTTCTTCCCTTTATAGCACAACCCCCCACCCCCTGCCCTGCTCCTTTTCTCCCTCTGCTTCCTTTACTCCCTAGAGATATTTTCCTGTAACCCAGCAAGCCTCAAAGACATCAGACATCTTTTATCTAGAGCCTCATGCCCCAGGGCATGCACACAGGCACAAATCTTCAAGTCTGTAAAAGCAGGGTACTTGTCTCCTCCGTTCAGCTCCACTTGCAGCCTTTCTGTTCTCCTCTTTGTTTTTGTCATCCTGTCAGAGGGTATGTCAGATGGTGTCTGTGAATCCTCTATTACTTCATTACAGGAAAATAAAATCAAGATGTATTTAGCTCTGCCCGTCTGACTTGTCAAAATGGGTTTAGCATCACTTCACAAGGTTATTTTGACAATTTTGATTCTGTAATATTGTGTTATAGGACAACAAAAATAAAAAAAGTTAACCTGTTCTCCCTCATCTCCTCTTTTCTGCCTCAGTGACCCATGAACACTTGAAGGAACGTGCCCTCTTTAGCCTCCCCCCTCCTCCGCCGGGGGCCAACCCCACAGAGTACTACCACCTGATGGCCAGCGCCAGTCAGCGAAGCCCCTATGGTGACCTGCTGGTGCAGAGCGGGGCAGCAGCCGCCGCAGCAGCTGCAGCCGCAGCAGCAGCAGCAGCTCATCTACCTGATTACATCAGCCCTATGGATGGTGAGGAATTCTTATTATTGTCTTTTACTGTGCATGAACCTCAGCTTATTGTAATTAAATATTATTACAATATATGCGTCAGCGGCACATGAGATTATTAGACTTTAGGGGCGGATTTTGACAGTTTTTTGAATCTACTAATGTAATCTGAATCTGTTCAAATCCCTTATGGAATCCATTTTAGCTTTCAGCATTTTACTCCCACTTAAACACAGAGTATTTGAGTTTTACTGGGAGATGCCAACTCCTGAAACAAGGAACAATTAAATAGGAGTACTACGTAGTACTTTCACCCAGGTTTCCTGCTGCACTGAAGCTTTAGTGATGTCCCTCACTTTTAAATGGCTTCAGATAAAAGCATCTGCCAAATGATTAAATGTAAATCAGCAAGATTGTTTCAGATTTAGACTTATCGCTCTGTCAGTCTGGTTGAACTGCAAAACCACAGCGCAGTCAGGGCAGAGCGGTGCTTGTGAGTGCAACTTCTTGCAATAACCTGTTAGAAATAGTTGGAGAATAAGTAGGGTGGCACGGTAGGGCAGGGGTTAGCACTGTTGCCTCACGGCAGGAAGGTTTGAACCTGTCGCCCAGCTGGGCCCTTCATGTAGGCCTTTGTGCCGACGTGGGTTTCCTCCAGGTTCTCTGGCTTCCTCCCACAGTCCACAGACATGAGGGTAGTTAATCGGTGACTCTAAATTGTGTGAACCTGACTGTGAATGTTTGTTTGTCTCTATATGTCAGCCCTGTGATAGACTGGCAACCTCTCCAGGGTGTACCCTGCCCTCGCCCAATGTCAGCTGGGATTGGCTCCAGCCTCCCCACGACCCCCCACGAATGAATGGAGAGGTTTGCAGAGTTTTGAGCCTAGCTCTGTTTTGGTCTTTTTGCAAGTTACTGGCATTAATGTTAGATAGTTACAGCTGATGTGATTTGCCATGACTGATGTTTGTTAGTTTAACTGGAAAAAGCAACAGTCATTGCCCATTAACAGTGAGAAGTCCACTGCACCTCAATGTTCACTCTTTGCAAATAAAAAAGGGTGAAAAGCTTTGGAGATTAGCAAATACAAGACGAAGAGTAACAGCCAAACTTAACAGCCATCTTGCCCTTTGTTCTCAGCACCAGACATGTTGATACCATCCTCCTATTCTTCTTCTTGACTCTTTTTGTCATGGAAAGTTCCCCACATCAAAGCTGGTGGAGCTTTTGGACTGAAATGTAGCATGGGGGCCACAGCTTGTCGAGGGTGGATGGTGTGTAAACATTAAAAGTCCCAGGGCTCGTAAAACACATTACTTTAGAGTTTCTGATTTTGGTGTTTGTACTGTTATTATTATACATCCTACAAAATAAATCCACAGTAACTGTAAAAAGGCAGCGTGGAGAGATCCGAGAGATCTTGGTCCCCACTCTCTTAGGCTATTAAGGCAGAGATTAACCTCATGGGCTGCATGAAGTGTCAACAGGGATGAGGCAGGTCAACACTGACACACACACACACACACACACACACACACACACATCCACACAGCGGCACACAAAGACTTTAACAGCCAGGCAAATAGGCAGGCAAATGCTCAGAAAAAAAGTTGTACATGTGTTTGCACACTCACTCACAGAGACGAGCCTGTTCCTTCATGCCCGTTAGAGCCTCGGCCCTCTATCAAAATGACAGTCAGGCACCAGAATAGACATTTGATTTCAGCAGCAAAACGCATCCAAGAAACTCTCAGCCCTCATGAATGGGGAACAGAAAAGCGCACAGAGTGGAAAACTGTCCGTGAAAGTCAAGCCTTTTCGATGCCTGATAATCAAATACTCCCCTTGGCACTGACGCCTGCGCCGCTCCAGGAGCCCTCACTCTTTTCTTTCATCGCATCCAACCACCCACCCCGAGAAAAAAAAAAAAACACTGCCTTTCCCCGCTGCGGTGTCACGCTCCTCAAAGTCACTGCCGGACAGTAATGCAGGCGTCCTCACGCACAGGTAGGGAAACACAACAGAGAGAGAGAGAGAGAATCAGATACGGGATCGCTCTGCAATTAATCTTTTTAATTACCTGAATCACTTGGTTAAACACAGCGGTGCTGAGAGGGAAGGGTGATGTGGGGTTAGGGGCCTCGCAGAAACTGTAGACCACCTCTTTCTCCTCCCTCCTCCTCCCTTTTTCTTCCCTACCTCCAGCCACCTCAGTGACCGCCGCTGTGCTGCCTTTGCCCACACTTGTTTGGGGAAGTTGTTTGCTCAAATAGCCACAACCCCCCTCCACCCTTCACCCCTCTCCCTCATCCCCACCTCCTGCTCCAGTGCAGTGTCCGCACTCGCTGCCACCATCCCAGCAGCTTTTATTTAGTGTTCTACCATGCTTGTAGTGATGTGGTCAGGCTCGGGCCTCTCTGCCAGTCTGGAGGCTCTTCCACTGCAACACAGGGCCCATATTGACCGAGGCAGCCAACTAATGGTCATCGCGGGCAGCCTTGGCCGGAATCAAAGGCCTTATTTACTGCCAGAGAGCGTGGGAGGGGGAGGGGGAGGGGGAGGAGGAGTAGTGGCAGAGGTGGCAAATATGTGTTTCATCCCTTCATGTTAGTTTTGGATGGCAGCGCAGATAAAACCCATAATAAAAATCAATTTATGCACTTGTACTCAGCAGACCCACCGCAAGAACTGGGAGCCCTCAGTGAACCCAGAGCACAGCCTCTCACCCACCACCTTCCTCTCGCTCACTGTTTTCCCCCTCTGGATATGTGAATTGCGAGGCTCACGGCGGAACCACAAAACACTGAGCACTGCTGTGAGAAGTGTGCTGGTGGAAAAGTTGTGGACACATGCGTCAGGAAAAGGTTTTTTTGACAAGGCTGCAGGACTCACAGGTCCACTTATGGATTTTAGGATTTACTGTCGGGCACACCTCAAGCCAGACACTTAAAACACAAGAATTTATCCCTGGGACATGAGGAAGACAAGGTTTAAAAACACTGGTGTTGTGTTGCTTTAAGTTCCACAACTACAGACAGGTTTCCATTCCATCCCCAGTTAAAACAGACCCCTAACCAGCCATAATGGTGACAAAATGGTGTTACCAGCAGTTATTCAGCCTCGCTGAAATGCATAGCCGCTCCTGTAAGTCGCTGTCCTTATCTGGTGTGAGTGACACGGAGACTGAGAGGAGCGGACTGGGTTAGAACAACAAAAACACATTTCCAGCCAACAAGTCATTAAATCTGGTGTTGTCTTTAATGAATAAAACACTTTTAGGTCATTTCAGTTCTGTCTAAAAGGAAAAGTTGTTTCGAGTTTTCTCTAATCCCTCATGTACGAGATTTGCTTCAAGATGCTAAGACTTGTCTCTGGAAAACTTCTTATATGATTTCTGTATTATTTTGAAGCAGCTAAAGCTGGAGTGAGGCTTAGTCATTTGCACAACATCTTCGCCACCATCTTCACGTGACAAATGGAATCACAGAGCCCTAAATTCGTGCCATGACTCAGCTGAGAGACAAGACTAGAGATGTTCTGATAACATTTTTTCCTCCCTGAAACTAATACTGATACCTGAACTTGTGTATCAGCCGATATCGATATATAGAATAGAATCCCTCTTTCTACAGTGGAAACTGATTATAGTCATCATAGTTAGAGTGATCAACTGATTATATGGATCAAAAAGCTTGGGTCAGAATCGTTCTTATACAAATTTGCTTATATTGATCAAGTAGTCTGCTTACAGTGTTCATTTTGGATGTTTTCATGCATGACAACATATGGAAACTGTCGCTCGTCACATCACGTGTAGATATCTCACAGACTAACTCGCGCAACAATGATTGGCTGGGAAGCATCACGTGACTAGTGCAACAAAGGCTGGAAAAGATGTGCCGCTTAAAACAGAAACACTCAATAAATATTGTATAGGTGTGGGTTGTAGGTTGTAGGTTCAAGTCCGGAAAGGACAGCATCATAGTCTGGAGAACTGCTGTTTTCACTTTACTCAAAGGTTTGCCTCTTGATATCTTGTCTAAACATAACAGGACAATTTATTTACTTTTTTAGATGCCATTTGTTTCCCACCACCAGAATACCAAATTGTAATAAAGTAGTACCAAACCTGGTGCTCATGTTTTACACAAAGCTGGTCTCAGTCTCTGTACCCCAATAAAAGTAAGACAGAGAGACACTAATTCCATAATTAAAAATCATTTTAGCATTGGTACACCACCACTGCTGTAAGTGTAAATAAAGTAACATTATGGTATTTCACATTGGGAGCATTCACAGGACTGTTTGTATATGAGCGAGCAGGTATGTAAGGGGTGGGTGGGCAGAGAAATATCAGAGCGGCTTACGGGAAATCGTTGAATCTCCCACGACAAAAGCAGCAGCCAAAGTAAATGTCTGCCATGCTGAGAAAAAAGAGATTTTACTGTTGATGCAGCACAAGGAGAGAGGGAGATAGATTTGTGTACCGATGTGGTGGCGAGGAGAGAGAGGGCTGGGAAAGGGGGTCCGCTCCCCTCAGACAGCATATACAAACACTTAACTATATGTTGGTTCATGAGCACATGGGTGGAAGTGTGTGCATAAACACACTGACAAACACAACGGCAGCTTTGGGCTGGACACTGGGGGCTCAAAGAGGATTCAGTGCAAGCTCCCTCACTAATAAAATTCACAGTGTTAGTATTAGTGAGATTTAGCAGGGAAAATAAATAGTCTCCCACTGCTCCGGCTGGCCCGGGGGGGATGGCTAGGCTGGCTGAAGATGTGGAGACATGGGGCCCTGCTGGCACGAACTCAGACTGTGGTGGTGTGGGGGGTTGGGGGGGTTACCCAGCATAGAGCAGCTCCTGCTTCACCCTAGACAAGGTCAAGGTGGACAAGCCAAAGATTATCCACAGAGGCCAACTGCTCAGGACATGGGCGTTTTGCTGACTGAATTAAAGTAAATAAACATATGATTTTAAATTTAAGTATCGAAAACTTAAAAACCCTATTCTCAAAAACCAATAAACATATACGAGAGATTAGAGAGTTATTCAGCTCCACTGTAGTATCTACTTTTTCTAAAGCTAATGATACAGTATGACTTGTAACACCACTCTGATTTGGCTTCATACAAAAGCAATTATGCAAACTTGGTATTCAAAGACTTCTGGATTTGTCTTCTGGTGTTGTCTTGTTATGGTGGTAGAAGGGACTAAAAGGGGAATTTCTTAAAATTTGGCACAGACATTCACTCAAAGATGAAATGATTAGTTTCTGGTGGTCAAAGGTCAGAGGTTGAGGTCACTGTGACCTCACAGACATGGATGTAAAAACTGCACCTTGCCTGGTTGGAAGTTAATTGTAGTTTAGATGAGATAGATGATGATAACTTTTCAACTAGACTGCAACAGTGGGGCCAGGCCTATAATATTACTGACTGAGTGATCATATTTCCACCATTATTGTTTCTATTAGGGGTGGTATTCTGGATTGTCTGTAGGTGCCCACAAACCTGTGGCCTGCAAACCCCCAGCAATGGAAACAGCTCCTGTCACCACCTGTGACCTGGGTATTCAATCTGAAAGTAAACAACTCACATCTTACACATCAAAGCAGCTTGAACAGAGCAGGTGATTGTCAAGAGAGCTGAAAACAGTGGGTTTGCTTCATGGTTATCTAGCTACTGTTTTTTAACTATGGTTGTCTATTATATATTCCTCCAAAAGCTCGTGAGTTATGGAATGAAGGAAGGGAAGGGTCTTTGCCTCCCCATGGACACCGGATTCGAACAGTACTTATGCTGCCCAGAAGGAGGCACTGCCCTTAAGGCTGAAGTCAGGGAACAAAAGTTTTATGTGCACCACTGATTATATGAAGGACTGGCCCTGTTCATATTTAGCATCAACATCGTCTCGGGTAATCCAATCACAAGTGGACAGCTCTAAGTATGCTCTTAGTTAGTTCACACCTGGCATTGCGTCTCAAGTGCCAAGTGCCAACTTGTGTGATCTCAATTCCCCGCTTTATATGCAAATAAACGATTGAGTGAGTCATTGCACTGTTCACAGCTCTACAGTAAAATAAGTTTTTAGCCATTTGAAATAGTAAAATATTTTCAGTTCATTCATGCGAAAAGAATGTGCCCCAGACCACCTCCAAATGTGGTCTGAGTGATGGGATCTCAAATGTGTCCTCAATGCGTCTTGGGTGCGTTCACACCCAAAATTAGAGCTGTCCACTTGTGATTGGATCACCCAAGATGGATGTTAATACCAGGTCTGAAAAGGGCCATTGTATCATTATTGACTGTAGCCTTTTTCTGCAACATGGACAGTGATAACACATTACTGGCTGTTTAGAAAAGTAGGTACTCAAGATATCCTCCAAAGTTGGGTTCACTGTGCACTTGCATCCACACAGAGATTAAACTATTCAAACTAAATCCTTTACAAGAACATCAAAGGCGGAGAAAGTTACTGTACAGATTAAAACACCATAGACCCATAAAATAATAAGAGTTCATGCATACTGTTGACTTGGCTCTGTTTTCAGGTTCAGGAGAAGATGCTAACATTTTTCCCAGTAAACTCGAGCACATTTTTCTGTTTGCAGAGACAGTTTGTTCACACTTTTAAGGATACTACAAGGTTTGTATTTCTATTGGCACTGAGCTGAGCCACTGGCATTGTTTCTTTATTCAGCTCAGCAGCAGTCCAACTCAGACTGCTCATCATTCTGTTGTTGGCGTAACTCAACTGTCTCTGTTAGTTCCACTGTAGTCATGAACTCAAGAAGAGGCCTCTGGATTCTCAGAGAAGTGGAAACTGCTTTCACTCACAAATAAGATATAAATCTCAACTTGGCGTTGTAAATTTCAGATTTTATTTTCTTACCTCTAAAAAATGCTATTTGTATGCCTCTACACTGATGATGGGTTGTCCATCTGTACTGTCCATCCCATTCTCGTGAATGCAATATCTCAGGAAGTCTAAAAGGGGAATTTCTTAAAATTTGGCATAAACATTCACTCAAGGATGAAATGATTCGTTTTTTGCAGTCAAAGGTCAGAGGTTCAGGTCATTGTGACCTCACAGACATGGATGTAAACTGCAACTTGACTGGTTGTTAGTTAATTGTAGTTTAGATGAGATGGATGATGATAACTTTTCGACTGTAATGCAATAGTGGGGCTAGGCCTATAATGTTGCTGACTGACTGACTCAGTGGTCATGTTTCCACCATTGTTCAGCCGAATGCCACATGACTGAGTTGGAGTTTCCCCATTAGCAATTAGTCTTTCAAAATTAATTTGGCGCAAACAGTTTCTATTAGTGGTGCATTAACAGCCTGCAGTGTTGCCAACAGAACCCCCTCTCAAGGAGGCCTCAGTGGTCTCAGTTCGGTTCGCTTCAAGTCCATGTTGCGGTTCGCTTAACCTGTGCATTTGAACACAAAGCACAGGTTATAGAGTTCCAGACATAGATGGAACCTTGTCCCCTTGTAATGACAGCGTCCACAGCACACAGAGGAGGAGAGACAGATGCAAGCATGAAGAATGCAAATAGCGTACGACACAGTCCAGACATATATTAGGTTTTGACTTAGTCTTTTTATTGTTCACAATGCCCTGTGTTAGCCCACAGTCCCAATTGGGGAGAAAGGCTACAGAGGCTACCAGTTCTTTAAAGAGCCTCATAGTGACCCTCTAAATGCTCAGGGCCAACACTGAGAGCCAGATCCGTATGGGGATTAGTACAAGCCTCCAATTAAAGTGTTTTCATTTTCCACAAAGCAATTTCAGTTAAGACAGCACAGGCAAATACTTAAATAATCACACACACACACACTCACTCACACACATATACTTTTTTCTTTTCTTTTTTTTTTTTACTGTATCAATGTGCACTGTAATTATGACTCTCTATATAAATCCAGATCCCACAATTACAACCATCCCACGATACAGTCCACAGAGCACATACAGACACACACTCACGTACACATACCCACACATGCCATATTACCACACGCTGCCGCGCCACCACTGCCTGTGCAACATCTGTTTTCTCACTCCCTGCCGGAACCTGCTCACCCTTTCAATTATAACCACCACCTATAAAACACTCCTCTACCAAGTGGTGAGTGTTGTATGTCCATGTGTGTGTGTGTGTGTGTGTGTGTGTGTGTGTGTGCATGTGTGCGAAATTTATTCCAGGTAAAATTAGGGTTTGGCCAAGGACATCCACTGGTAGAAGATTGAGCTAAACAAAACTAGTTTGTCCGCAGCTCAGCATTAGAAGACCAAACTTTATAGACATCTAAAGCTCCATTGCTGGAGGCGTTCAGAATTCTTCTGAGCTGAGGTAGATGTATAGATTGAGTGGGCGTAGAGGGTGGTGTTTTGGGCACAGTTCCCAGAAGGGTGAGGCAGGCGCCAGGCTATCAAGGCCACCAGGTTGTGAGGCCTGTTTTCTGCTTTATAAAAGGGGGGATATTAATACACTTATCTCCCATTAAAACTGTTGGCAAGGCAGCGAGCTCGCCTCACTGCAAAAACAGCAAATCCTAGCAGCTGCACAACCCGTATGGAGCAAAGCATAGTTTATCATTCATAGTCATTCATGACGGTCCATATTCCCTTTCTCTCATACCGCCTCCCTCCTTTACTCCACTCCCAACCCTCTGTGTGGCTAACTCAAGATGACATTTATTTATCAGCCCTTAAAAGACGCATTCCTGACGACTGTTTGTTGTTTTTGCCAGCTCTTTCATACATCTCTATCACTCTACTAGTTTTTTTTTCTCTCTTAGGCCCCCAACTACTGTTGTCTGCCGTCTGAAGTTCCCAGGGGCCTTTTAACTAAGTGCACATGCCTCTGCTTTACGACTCGCCACCTCCAAACATAATAGTTTTGGAAGCAAGACCTTGGTTTATGGCTGTAGGTCTGGTGTGGTGATTATGGCGGTGCCTGGATTCATTTGGCTTGAGGGGCTGTGAGTTTCACCAGCAAACACTCTGAGATTGGCAGCACATTGGCAGCAGTGAAGCTGACATGCAGGGTGTTTGTGTGTGTGTTAGGTCACTGTGCATGTGCTTAGGTGTGTTGTGATGGGCCCATTATGAGTTTCCTGCCTCTCGCACCTCTGATGATGTCTGCTGTAAGAGCTAATTACAGGTTTGCACAAACACACACCAGCGCTGCTCTCTGTCGCCTCGCACAGCGAAGCAGCACCTGTTGGTCCTGACAAGTGATCGCTCTCTGTCTCTGTGGGAGCTACGTGCCTCAGATATGTTAGAAAAAATAAACAAGCATGAGTATGTATGAAAAAATAAATAGCTTTCTCTTCAAGTTCATGGGAAAGTAGCCTCCCCCCACCGTTTTCTACAAGAATAAGAAACTAGTGCGACAACCAGGTCTAGCAGGAGGCCGTGAACCCTACCTTTGTGAGTCAGCCTTGTTCTTTTTTAATGGTATTCTGAGATCAATTTGTTTAAATTGCCTCCTTTTAACTCGCCCAAGTACAGCGGTCTGAAAGAGATTGCTATCACTGTAATTACTGAGAATGATTGGGGGCAATTCATTATGCATAAGAGGATGCGAATGTTAAATAGGGGAGCTGTGTGTGTGTGAGAGAGAAAAAGAGAGAGATGCACGAGATAGCGTGTAGCCTAGCATGGCTATGACCTCCACTAGAAAGCTTGGGGCTAAATGTTTCTTCAAACATGGTCCAGGATAAATGCTGGTTTCTATTGAGGCCATGTGGAGGTTTAATGGAAGTGCAGGGAATTTGCACATCACAGTAGTTCTCCAGTCTAGTTAACGTGAAGCACGACGGCAGTGTGTGAAAGAGAATGAACAAGTAGCAGTTGCCTTCTGAGTTGAAGTTGTCTGTTGAGGTAGCGATGCTAAAATAGCTGACGCTGCTGCTGCTGTGTCTTTGTGTCCAGTGTCACGTTTCTCCAGCCCACGGCTGACGCCCCGGCTGAGCAGGAAGAGAGCGCTGTCCATTTCCCCACTGTCAGATGCCAGCATCGACCTGCAGACCATGATCCGCACCTCGCCCAACTCCCTCGTGGCCTACATCAACAACTCCCGCTCCAGCTCAGCTGCCAGCAGCTCCTACGGGCACCTTTCAGTCGGAGGGATCAGGTGTGTAGACGGAACCCATGCATACATATCTACCAAGTGCTAACACACAAGTATATACACATTTACAGACAGGTACACACACAAGTGCCAGTTTAGATTATATTTTGGATCAAACTTCAGGTTTCAATTTTGAATATTACCCAGTAAAGTAAGGTATAAATATACAGTAATGTCCCATACTGACATCTAAAAAGGTAGAATTACCATTGACATAGACAATCTTTTTAAAGGTCCCATATTGTGAGGTAAAAGTAGATGTCCATGTGTAGTTTGATTATAGATCAGGTCTTGGTTCTATATTAATACTGTGAAAGTATCAAAGCCTCAGTCCACAGAGAAATGCACACAGCCTGTATTCAGAAACTGAGCCAGCCGTTAGGACTTCTGGAACTTTGTGATGTCACAACAAAGCAATCACCAGCCATGCCCCAAACCCCATCCACATGGACCCACCATCTAACTTTGCAGGATTTGGTTTCTTTGAATGTTTACCTGAAATCTGATATATTTTTATTGGATGACTCAGAAAACAGTCAGAGAGGAGAGGAGGCTCTGAGCCTCTCTTCTGATTGGCTCACTGACCTGTTATTACTAGAGCTCCAGAGAGAAGCCTGTAAAACTACATTGAGATGGTTTTTGGTTCTTAAAACCAACGCTTCAAATAAAATACGGGAGAAGAGGAAAATATGGGACCTTTCAAGTAATGCTTTTTTAATCTTACTTCTGCTTTTATTTTAATTTATTCAAGCCAAAACTTTTAATATCTTGATACAGTCCAGCCACATATTGCAATATACAATATTATAGTAAATTATAATATACAGCCCAAGTCTATGGGGGATGGTCAACATTTGCACCAACTTGCACAATTCTTATTTGTTGAAGTTCAAAAATCAGTGTGTGTTCAACTAGCAAAATCAAAGTTTTTCCAGTGTGTCAGTGTCTCATATCCCCTATTTATGTAATGCTAACAGCTAAGCAGGCTGGTGTTCAGTCAACTGTATAGCAAGAATAAATGGCACATTGATGATATTAAATCAACATCTTAATAAGTCAGATTTGGAGCATACTAGTATCTTACTTAGCAACCAGGGCTGATACAGCAGAAACATGATATCTGCAGCAACTTAATTGGAGTTAATGGAAATATAACTGTTTGTACTGTGGTTTTATTTGAACACCATCCAGTAGGCAAAACTCCATTCATAATTCCCACAAGATAACGTTTCTTTTTCCCTCTCGCCCAGCCCCTCGTTCAGTTTCCCTCATCCCATCAACCCAGTGGCGTACCAGCAGCTGTTGTCCCAGCAAAGGGGTCTCAACGCCTTTGGCCACACACCGCCTCTTATTCAACCGTCGCCATCCTCCTTTTCTGCTCGCCAGCACCCCCTCACCGCGTCACCCATGACCACCTCCCACAACAGCTCCAACTCTGAGGCAAACCAGGTAGGAAGTGAGACATTTCTACACACAAAGGTGTCACACATTCAAGTGCATATACCCTTTTTTTTCTATCTTCAGATCATGAACCTCAGATACCATCTATATGGATGTGTACTTGTTGGCTTTCTCAAATAACTCCTGCTACCAAACAGATCATGGATCAACAGAATAAGACAGAATATAAAAACATCCAAAAACTTGATCCTGAGGCAGGTAACTGCCATGTGATGTGTTGACATGACAGTATGTAGAGAAAAATTTATGTATTTCATATCCTTATAATCAGACTGAACTGCCATTTTATTTGTCTTCCTTCTTCAGACTGTCATTTTCATATTACTGTTAAGGAGAGAGGTTTTGTCCCAACCAGTCAATCAGTACTTTAGCTTAATTATGGATTAGATAATTAGATAGATATACAGTAAATTAAATATGCAGATGTACAAGTTGTTATTTTTGTAAGGCCACTTAAAACAACCTGTAAAGCTGCATGAGTATCATTCATGCTACTTTCCATTATTGTTGTAATTTTCTGTGACCAGTTCTCTGGCTATGGCACAGAGACATGACATCCTGTTTAAATCACTGGAAAAATGATGAGATGGGGGCAGCAATGTAGTAATCTTGAGGGTCCTGTGTAACTATGGCATTGAAAACAATGAAACATCTCAATGGAACAAGCACCGAATTCAATGTTCCTTCCTAGAGCTGAAAATGATGTATTTCACTCTCTGCACATGCTGTCAGCTCAGATACAAGTTACCATTATATCAACTGTACTATAAGCAACCATTCAGAGTAGAGCTGAAACTAATGATTTACTTCACTGATTAGTTTTCTTCAGTTAATTGCTTAAGCATGTTGTCGCATGTTGAATGCCAACACAAGCTCACAGAGCCTGAAGCTGACATCTTTCGTCCTAAATTGTCCTAAAAACACTTCCTTGACCTGAAAAATGCTCACACATGAGGAGCTGGGACTACATATCAGTCGTGTTCTGCTCCATACATGACTCATGAATCTTTTGAGTATCAAAATTTTACCTTGATCAACTGATCGACTAATTGTTTTATTCAGAGTTGAGGATGAAGGCCTGTGCAGCTTACATTTACACATTGTCATGAATGAAGTATGTATTTTTTTAAACTGTCTCAGGTCAGAAATATGCAGGAGACTCCCTCTCTGTTCCATCTGTCTTACTTCCTACTGTCTCCTCTGTCTCTCTTTATCAGCCCTCTGTTTACACCACAGCCACTCGTCATGTAAACTTCCCACTCAGTGAATCACTCCAGCTCACGCTGCAATCAGCTGCCTTCACCTCTGTTTCAGCACAGTGTCTGCTGACAGTATCCAAGAATCCAGGAGTGTGTGTTTGCACCTATACGCTCACACACATAACAAACAAAGACACACAATCCCACCATTCATACACATACACAAACATACATTCAGCTTCATTTCCACAGTGATCAGAACCATATTTCCCTTTTGGTTTCCAGCCACTGAATGAATCATCGTCATGCTCAAATGCACTGTAGCGTCTGGGTGGGATTAGGAGACCCCCCCCCCCCCTCGATGTTGGACTCCCTCCAACGTACCTCAATATACACACACACACACACACACACACTCTCTCATTTATATCTTTCTTTTCTTTTCATCTCCATTAGAGCTTCAACAAGCCGTCTGAGTCTTTGTCTTTCGCTCTTGTTCAGAATCTGTTGGCAGATCAAAGCCCCTTCCCTCCCCAGCCCCCGACTCTGCCTCCTCCCCGCTCTGTACCGAGGGTAATAACTCCTCTTCTTTCATATTTTCTTGTGGCTTTTGGCTATCATAAAGCAGTCTAAACTGTTTAGTCTCGGCGGCAGGTCCTAGTCTGACTTATGGGCCCGTGGTGCCTGGCGCAACCCCGACTCCTCACATCTCTGTGCAGCCGATTCGCTGAGCCAAAAACAGTTGCGTGGTATCTTTGTGATTTAGTTATCTGATTCCCCGCGGCCGCTCTGTGCAATGAGTGTGTGGAGAGCAGTAGTGTCTGAAATGAATGAGTGATTAAATTAATAGGTGGACAAGTGGGAGGACTAATGGATGCATGGACAGATGAATGGGGTAGGCTGGTGTCAGGATTAATGGAGTGATTCACTGAATATTATATATTCTGCCGTATGTGCTCTGTGTCTTCACCCCTGTCTCTGGCCTTAACTGTCTTTCAGAATGCCGGTGGAGACCCAGCAGTGAGCAGCACAGTCAACCCACTGACCACCAAGAGGTCAAAGGTCAAGACAGAAGCAGAAGGTCCACTGCCCATCTCGCCAACCTCTCAGGTAGGACAACCAAAAGATAGTGGACAGATGTTTAAAGCTCCTCTCCAGACATGTTTTAATTATGTAAAAATCTTCTGTTATGATTTATATTTTGTTTAACATGATTTTCACATATAAAATGTGAAACAAAAGGAAAACTGGGTCTGAAGCTCATCTCCTCTTACTTCCTCATTGAGAAATGTGGATCAGGCCTTTAGCCCCCCACCCACCACCTGCTCCCTCCAGGTGGACAGGTGAAAGAGCAGAGAGTATCAAGATGGTGAGAGGAGGAAACATCAGAGAGACTCAGCCACATGTTTGAGCCTCAGTCAGACCCAGACTCAGATGAGGAGTCTGTTTAGACCAGAACCAGAGACTAGCAGACGGGTCAGAACAGTCAGCGCAGTTAGTATATTTTATTTGTTTATGTTGTTTGTTAGTTTTAGTAACTGGCAGTGACTGACACTCTCTTAGTGGTTGTGCTAATGCTACCTCTCTCTCTGTACTGACAAGGCTTCAGGTTTATTTAGCCCCGCCCCCCCATCCCCACAAGTTGACAGGATTGGTTCCTTAGGTTTGTGACGTATGAAACCCTGGCTGTCTGAATCTGTGTATATGAGACTGTCATTGGTTCACTGCAGTTCAAGGTGGAAACACTCAGTCACGGTGTTGATGATTATTTCACTCATCACTGGCTTGTATTATGTACAAACACCATATGAATGTTAGTAATGTTAAACATTAGATTTTCATCAGAGGGGTCTTTAAAAAGAAGTAGATATAAAGTAAGTAGAAAAATGCAGAAAAATGGAAACTTCTCGGATCTGCATTGACCTTCAAAAAATCCCAGTGCATAGATTTTTTTCATGCAGCTTAACTCTCTCCATCGTAGTCTTAACTTCTTACAGTGGGGAAACAGTCCTCTCTTTAACTGCAGTTGCTACTTTGGCTCTAATTGATTATAGATAATGAATAAAAATGCAGCTTTAATTAACGACAAGAGGTTCTGTCACACACTGAGATCAAGTAGCAGCTCCTTAGGATTAAGACCCAGATAAGATAAGACAGATGCAAAATAGTCCAGAATGCTTCTCTAATTATATTGACCACAGACTAACTGTTTGCATGTTTTTATTCTAGTCATTTATATGCACTATTGGATACACACATCTGTAACCCCCCCCCTCCCCCTTCTCCAGGACCATGGTGGAGGGATCTTGGACTTGAGTGAGGATCTGGACAAAGACGAGTGTAAGCAGGAGCCCGAGGCCATATATGAGACAAACTGCCACTGGGAGGGCTGCACCAAGGAGTATGACACCCAGGACCAGCTCGTCCATGTGAGTATCAGGCTTGGTGTCATTGTCTTTATAATGAGACTCACTGAATGACAGACACTGTCACAGCCTGTCTGACAGAAGACATGATGGTAAACTAAATCTTAATCAGGAAGTGGGAAATTAACATTAACAGACATTTTTCACTTTTTTCTGAAATTTTATTGACAAAACAGAGAAAATAGATTAGAAATCATTTTTCATGCAATAATGAAATTAATTATTAGTTACAGGCACATCCCACTGAAAATGTTTCATCTTCTTACTCTGGATGCCATCCATGTTGTCAGTATTATTAGTTTGCTTTAATGAAGCTGTTCCATCAGAGCTGTTTGTTTTGTAAAAAGTGAAAAGTTCAGACTGCTGCTCTGCTGCTCATTAAATCCTTGCTGATTGAGTCCAGTCAGAGAGAGCTCCAGTAACTGATCCTTTCCTGTTGGGTTGACACGCGCAACATTAATGAGCCTGCCGGCTCTCGCCAAATTCAAGCCCAAGCCCTGCAGCTGTGCCCCACCAATCCCTCAGCCCCGTGACCCCTAACCCCTAACCTCTCACTCCCAGCAACACCCCTCCCCAACCCCCTGAAGCCCAGAGGGCTGGCCATAAATCCATCGTCATGCCACCAGCTCTGGAGTTATGGAACCTCATGCTCCTCCCTTTTCCAGGCCAACTTCTCTTCTTGCTCTGACTGAGTGTCAGAGCAGTGGCAGGAGGGGCATGTGTAAGGTCCACAGACGCAGAGACTGATGGGAGGTGGTGAACAGGTCGCTATGGGCTGCGACAAGTCAGGACCAGAGTTACCTTTAAAAACTTTCGCCCCAGCTTCAGCTCCCTCGCCACAAACTCTGTGAACGCCTGCCAGGATGAGTGAGTCGACCGGTGGATCAGTGGTTAGACCTCGGATGTGGATGGACAATATGAGGCCAAGACATTTTTAAATGTGCTTCTCATCAACTATTCAGAAACTCCTGACTGCATCTCCCTAAGCACATCCACGGTTCTACACAGAGTTCTCACAATATCAGCAAAAAAAGAAACACCTGTGGGTTTTTCTGACTTCTGCTTAACCAAAGTAATCCTGTTTTGTAGAGCCCCCAAATTATGGATTCACAGTAGTGTGTAACCTGAAAATAGAGGCATGCGCTTGGGCCACACACTTGTTTCCACTCCTCCTCCTCCTCCACCTCCTCCACCCAAAATAGATCTCAGCAGAATCGTCGACCACTGAGCTTTTTCACTGGTGAAGCAGTGGCCACATAAGTGGAGCATTGTGGGCCTGGATGTCCTGAGGAAATGAAGTGGTTCCTCTGGGTGTGTGGATATTTGCATGTGGTGCACGAGATGAGAGTTTTTCAAAGTGTGTGTCTGTTCAGAAACATTGTGTGTGTGTGTGTGTGTGTGTGTGTGTGTGTGTGTGTGTGTGTGTGTGTGTGTGTGTGTGTGTGTGTGCGTGCTTACAGTATGTGCGTGTTTGTAAGTGTAAGTGGTTTGAGTTTGATAAAGGCTGTTGCATCTGAGGGCACAATTAAGATGACTGTGGGCAATGTGTCATTGTCTTGCATGTCTACACAAATGAATCATTTTAACAAGACAAGAAACATGATGGAAGGTGGAATACATGTTGGAATTAGACTGAAACAGTGATCGGTAACTGTTTTTGATAATATGTTTTTCAATTATTTTTCTTACAGTATCGGGCGAACAGTCCTAAGAATGCTTATTATACTTTTATCCATGTCCATGACAGACGCAAACATTTTGCCTACAAACCTTAGTTAATAATGATAGTTTTGCTGTTTGCTCTTTTTCAAGCTATTGCTAACAGGAGGTTCCAAAGGTTCTGTTCAGACGTCTGTGCTTGACAGATGTCTGAAATAGTGAACATACAATGGTTAATATGAAAAAAATAAATCAGTCAAACATATAATATAAGACTGTAGCCACAGCGCCACATGTGAACAGTAACAAAGTTAATTCTAGTTTTATCAATCAATATCTTAAATTAGCCTTTGATTACATTCTGGCCACTAATGGATTAGAAAAAAATTGGCTCAAGGCCTGACTTACTTGCTGACCTCTGGACTAAAATGTAGAACCGTGTTAACAGATCGTTTCAAAGAGAACCCTGAGATTTCACATATAGGATTATTTCTCTGTAATTACTTGGCCAGCTGATTCAAAATTTAAGTGGAAGTTTAAGCTTCAACAGGAAACTGTGTGTCCCCTGCTCACTTCCTGATCTGTTACAAATGAGGAGAACAGGAGATAAATACAAGATTGTCACAAAAATCCTCTTCCTGGTCACTTTTACTGGGATCTGAGGAAGTTCCTCTTCCTTGAGAAACTAACACACACACACACACACAAACACAAACACACACAAACACACAGCCTGAAAAAACAGACAGCTTTCAAAGCAATTGTCTCCTGCTGACAGATGCATAATAACTGTCAGCCATGATGGATGACACTGTCACTCACAACGTGTGTGTGTGTGTGTGTGTGTGTGTGTGTGTGTGTGTGTGTGTGTGTGTGTGTGTGTACATGCACATGTGCACAGACTCATGAAAGAGAGAGAATCTTCTGGTGGGAAAAAGACAAGAATTCGCTGACTCATTTTTAGTATCACACACACAAACACGTGTTATGTTATATCATTATAACTGGCTTGAATTGACTTGGATTTGCTGTCTCCTCAGCACATCAACAACGACCACATCCATGGTGAGAAGAAGGAGTTTGTTTGTCGCTGGGACGAGTGTTCGCGGGAGCAGAAGCCCTTCAAGGCTCAGTACATGCTGGTGGTCCACATGAGGCGACACACAGGGGAGAAGCCACATAAATGCACAGTAAGAACAACCTCACACCGCTATGACACACTGTTAGTGAGCTGTTTGTATCTCGATCCGTATATCCTGAAATTAGCGAGTATAGGCGGGTTTTGTAAACGTGGGTTAACCCAAGACAAGCACAACTGCAGGGAGCGTCATCTCATGCACTTACAGAGCACCCACACAGACACATGGGAGAAATGAGTGAGCTGCTAGCCGCCATGCAGAGTGATAAAATGGATCTGTCATGTCTCACCCCCGGGTAGGGTCTCTTTTCAGTGTCAGAGCCTTCGTGTGAGACACTTTGATATGTGATTGTGTGTTTTTAAAACTTATTTCAGGGCTGCAGATCACTCTTTCATAGCCGGGCGCAGTGTAGCAGCACATTGCTGGACAGGTTCACAGTGTCTGAAGGGCGAATATTAGCATGTTCACCCAGGATGTCGTGTTTGCATCACTGCTGATTGGAGCTGGAAAACTGTACCCCTTTTCCCACTGGTCAAAAAACCCTCTAAGACCCGCTAAAATCGGACTTTTGTCAACTGGCATTCACACCCAGGTCAAATGAGTCTGCAGTAGACGTAGATATTTATCAGCTCCAGCTCCAAACGGCATTAATGTAACAACACCTTGGTGAACACAAACACTGTAAACACACCTGTCACCTGCCCAACACGGTGCTGTTAAGCCAGAAACACCACAGCTACACTGTGCTCGGGGATAAAAGAGTTAGCTGCTGCAGCCCCAAATAAGTTTTAAAAACACATAATCACTGATCAAAGTGTCTCACATGCAGGCTCTGACACTTTAACAGGAGCTCCAACCCAGGGATGAAATGCAACAGATCCATTTGACACGTCTGCACAGCAGCTAGCAGCTCGTTCCTTCTCCCCTGTATCTGCGTCTTCATCTGTGTGTGTGTGATTGCTCCCTGCAGTTGTTTGTCTCATCTCTGGCAAATTTGGAGTCAATCGGCTTTTGGTGTAAAAAGTGTACTACAGAGTCATTTGACCCGGGTGAGAATGCCAATTGTCCCCTTTCATGTTGCCAACAAAAGCCCAATGTTACCACGTTTTTTGACCAGTGGAAAAGGGTCTTCAGTCAAAAACAATGGATCCTACATTCACCATGATGCAACCAGCAGTGACTTTTGTTTGACCCTCCCTACCTCCTGTTTGTAACACAGTCTCAGAGCTGACATACTCTGATCATATCACAGTTACATCATGAGGGTTACTGGCCCTTTAACTGATTAGTTAACTGGTTAACTAGAAATGGGACTTGGATGTTATTTAGCCACATTAGCAGCCACAAGTCTCTACCCTACAGCCCTTCCCTTTGCCTCAGGAAAAAAAAAGTTCATTTGATTTTCTTTGTGCTTGGAACCAGTGATATTTCCTTGTCAATAAATAATGGAGGTTTCACTGAAGCCTTCATTTTGGTGTGTGAAGATCAAATTGAGGGCCTGTTTGCTCGGCTTCAAAGCGCGCTCACAGGCTCTTGTGAATGCATTAAAACAGATGACTCGTAAAGGAGAGAGTTAAGAAAGCTGATTGACAGTGTGGGCGTGTAATTAAAATCTGCAGACAAGCAGGGGGCCGAGGGTCCTTATTAAGACCACGATGAACATTCTCTGCACAAATCCCACGTGCATCTTCTCATAACACTCTAACACCCCTTTAGTCTCATCTTTTGAGCGGGAATCTTCTGACTTTTGTTTCCCATTTCCGAGCGAGTCTAATTTGGTTTTCTTTTCATTTCAAAGCCAATTACATTCACAATAACTGCTCAGAAGGAATACCTAATTATAGTTTGTACAGTACAAGTGAATACAAAGGGAAAACACAGGCCTTTCTTTGTCTCAGTAAAGCGCACCAGACAAAGAGCTCTGCCACACCTCACACTTAGTTTAGATATTTAACATAATGGGCCTTTTTACCAAAGTGTAGCAGGGCTTTGCTTTTGTGTGGCACACCACAGTAGGTGGGCAGGAATCCAAGAGTAGATTACATTTGAAAACTGAAACACACAGAGCTTTTTTGTTGTTGTTGCCCAGCTCTTTTCTCTAACCAGCTGCAGACAAAATTACAGCACTCAGCCTCACTGTGTATCTGTCCGTCCGACTGTGTGTCTGTCTCTCTGCAGTTTGAGGGCTGCTCCAAAGCTTACTCTCGTCTGGAGAACCTCAAGACCCACCTCAGGTCCCACACCGGAGAGAAGCCGTATGTGTGTGAACACGAAGGCTGCAACAAGGCCTTCTCCAACGCCTCAGACCGGGCCAAGCACCAGAACCGCACACACTCAAACGAGGTATGTTCACACCAAGCAGCAACCTCTGGGGCTGAAAAATGAAGCCAGCAGTTAAGTACTGAAAAATGCAGTTCCTCTAATGACTGCTTGAGCCAAAGACTCCCATGTTAATATGTCCAACTTTAAAGCAGAAATTAACATGTTTACAGCCTGGTACAAAAACAGTTTTGGTCTCTAGAGCTAATTTCCTACTTCATGACAACTGTATGAATTTTTTAAAAAGCTGACATTGGTATATTTAATTTACACCTTATGTACGCCTCACATCGGACAAGATACTATTTGAAAAATCAGATCTTCATATGTTATGTCTTTTCCATCTACATCTGCGACTGAGTCGTGATTCCTTCCTTCTTTCTGCAATAAGAACTGTGTTAAATCCCTCTTGGCAGAAACCATATGTGTGTAAGATCCCTGGGTGCACCAAGCGCTACACGGACCCCAGCTCTCTCAGGAAGCATGTCAAGACAGTCCACGGACCAGAGGCCCACGTCACCAAGAAACAACGCAGCGACGCTCCTCCACGACAGCAGCCACCCAAAGGCAACGGCGAGAACGAGGCCAATTCCAAGCACGGTGCAAGAGGCATGGATGGCAAGATGGAGGCAAACAGCACCTCCAGAGGAGTGGAGGACTGCCTACAAATCAAGTCTATCAAGACAGAGAGCTCTATGGTGCGTCCTGATCACATTAATTAAAGGAGTATAGATCATTAATAAACTAATAATCTAATCAGTGGGGTTTGATACCACTTTCTGTAGTTGAAATGATCAGTGTCACCTGTTAACTGCATGATTTTGTATGTTTAGGAACCAACAGAGAGAGGCAAAGAAAAAGACTTATTTTCCCACTTTACTAACATTCCTCTGAGGTTAAAAGTTTACTGCCAGTGCCGCCTGCATCCTTTCTAACTCACCTCTCTGGTTGTTGCTTGAACTTGCTTGTCTCTTTCTCTTATAACCTTCCTCATGGACAGACTTCACTGAGGTGAGCACTCAAACTGTCTCTCTGTCTCGTCAGCATGGGAGCTGAGCGATTGTGTTCTCATGTTTCATGATATAAAATGGTTTTTGCATGATAATCCATTTTCACACATTTGTATGAGCTCCTTTGTATGTAGGACACACACATATATGCATGTGCGGAGACACGCACGCTGCCTTTAAACTGGATTTTTTTTTCTGTCCACAAGATCACTGGCAGTAGCCTCTGCTGTCGGCCAATGATAAAAGTCATTGTCACATTAATATTCAGAGGCTGGGACTGTTTTAGCGTCTGCGCTGAACAAATAGTGCCAGCGTCAAGCTGTGATCAAGACTTTAGTTCATTTTGGGCCAGTTTGAATTTGTTGCCATTGGATTGTTGCTCACAGAACTCATCTATTATCCACTTGTTTTTCATGTTGTGAATAAATCAAACGCATCTATAACTGATGAGATTATGGAACTATAGTCCTACATTAGTTATTACAAAACACCATTACAATCAGAATTTTTAACTGTGGTGATTATTTAATATTGAAGAATACATAATGGGCTTCTCTGAACTTGGCATGCGGCTGTAGCCATTATTATTTTATTTTATTTTTATTTTATTCATTTGTATTTTTAAGTTCCACTATTGTTTTTTTTGTTTTTTTTGTGTTTCTTCACGTCATATATGGAGATAGCAAATTGTTGTCAGTGTTACGAAGGTTTGGCAGAATATTTATTTACAATCAATTATAATCAAGCTTCAATTGTTTGATTCATTGCACTTACATTGGATACCTTCCCACTGTCCTCCTCCAGACGTATCAGTCCAGTCCTGGCGGCCACTCGTCATGTAGCAGCGAGCCGTCACCTCTCGGCAGCGCCAACAACAACGACAGTGGGGTAGAGATGGCCATGCACAGCGGGGGCAGCTTCGGGGACCTCACCGCACAGGATGAGTGCCCCATGGTTGACTCCACTGTTCCCGCTGGGGGACAGCATGGTGGGGTGGGGCTTCAGTTGAGGAAAGCTGCAGGTCACGGTGGAGGGGTCACCATCAAGCTGGAAAACATCAAAAAGGAAAGGCTGAAGACAGTGAGGGACTCCTGCCCCTGGGTCAACTCCGCACCACAGCCACTACAGGGCCAACGCAGCAGCATGAAGCTTCCGCCCATACCTGCAGTCGGTAAGTGTGGGAGGTTAAGGAAACGTGCTTACGGGTCCCATATAGTATAGAGGTAGATGTCCATATGTATATATATACAAATATATCTTCTTATGGATCAACACTTCTAAATAAAACATCAGAAAAGTGTAAAATATGGACCTATAACTGTGAATTGCTGGTGCAAGATGGCTAAATGGCATTATGCCGTTAGCTTATTAGAGTCCAATAGACCAGTGGTGCTCAAAGTGGGGCCTGGGACCTCCAGGGCTCCTTGAGGGGGTTCCTGGGGGTTCCCAGCAAAAGGGGAATCATTTATTTTCACTATAATTCCATCTATAAGTAACACAATGACAAATGACAATGACAATGTATGACTATTTTGGCCATGAGTTTCAAACACATTCTGTAATACAACATATAAAAGAAAAAATCTCATCAGAGGGCGGTCTATGGTCTTATTTGTGTCAGTTTAGTCCTTGATGTGAAAAAGTTTAAGAACCCTTGCAATAGACAAAGCCATACACAGTAATCTTCACCCTATAGTAAATTAATATGTAAATATGTATAAATATGTATTGTTAGCTGTTGTCACTAAGTAATAATGTTCCTTGTATCCGCCAGGTTCCCTGCTGGAGAGCTCCAACATGATGAGTAACCTAAGTGGTCTGCACCCCAGTCAACGCATGGGTGACCTGTCTTCATGTGAAATAACGCTGCTGAACCAGCTGAATGAGCGGCGCGACAGCACCACCAGCACCATCAGCTCAGCCTACACCTTGAGTCGCCGCTCTTCCGGTATTTCACCCTGCTATTCCAGTCGTCGCTCCAGCGAGGCGTCTCAGTTTGGCGCTAACCGCCACAACAACATCAGCTCGGCAGACTCCTACGACCCGATCTCGACTGACCTGTCTCGCCGTTCGAGTGAGGCCAGCCACTGTGGAGGTGGTGGTGTCAGTGGTGGAGGTGGAGGAGGTCTCCCAAGCCTCCTCAGTCTGACACCAGCTCAGCATTATCGGCTCAAGGCAAAGTACGCTGCTGCCATTGGTGGAGCTCCACCCACACCTCTCCCCAATATGGATCGAATGAGCCTGAGGACCCGCATGGCCTTGTACAGTGACTCCCAGGAGGGCTCATCGCATCCATTCCATCAGCCACCTTGTGGAACTGCACCCCGGCGCTGCAGTGACACTGGGTATGGCACTCAGAGTATGATGCCCCATGAGGTACCCACCAACCTTCCACGCCGTGCCAGTGACCCAGTGCGTCGTCCCACTGACCATCTCTCCTTTCCAAGGGTGCAGCGCTATAACAGCATGAACAGCATGAACCCCCTGAATGGTCCATCTGCTTCAGAACACCACCAGGCTCTGGCTATGCAGGGCTACACTCGCTCTGATGGCAGCCTGCAACGCTACCCATTTGCCCCCAGACCACCTAGCATCTCTGAGAACGTAGCCATGGAGAACATGGCAGTAGATGGGATGATGACTGGGGGGGAGCAAAGTGGGGAGGATGATATGGTGCTCCCAGATGATGTGGTGCAGTACCTCAGGTCCCAGAATTCTGGCCCATCAGGTCACACCTCGGGGCAAGTGGACTATCATCCTAACAATCAGACTCAGGGCTACCAGACAGGCATGGCCCCAGCAGCATCATTTTACGCGCAGAGGAGGATGGCCATGGTGGACGCCACCATGACTCAGTCTGGCCAGGATCTGACATTCTCAGCACCATCAGACAACATGAACAAGAATAACATGCCGGTGCAGTGGAATGAGGTGAGCTCAGGGACTGTGGACACCACAACCAAGCTCTCCAGACAGCAGCAGCATCCTCTCAGGGGGAACCTTGCTGTCGTTCAGCATAGGCACAATTTAGGATCCTTCCAGGCACAAGGTCAAGGCCTGGGCAGCAACCAGCAGGTTGTGCCTATGAGTCAGAATATGACTATGCAGGGGTACGCAAACCACAACAGCCAGAGGCTGATGAACATTACCCACCAGCAGAATCAGCAACAGAGGCAATGCAACAATGCGAACTTTAGTGAGCACATGAGTCCTCAGCAAGGGTATGGCCAAGAGGCAATCCCTAACTCTATGGCTGGGAGCACTAGTGTGAGATCTACCCGCAACAGTATGGCAGATCCTGAACTGCAAAGTTACAGAGCAAGGACACAGGCTGATGAGTACTCTCATGTGAATCAAGTGGATCAGCAGCAGAATTACAGCGTTCTCTCCCAGCAGCAGCAGCAGCAGCAGCAGCAGCAGCAGCAGCAGCACAACATCCATACCGGAGGCAGAGGAATGTTACAACCCCGGCCCCCCACAGAGCCCAAGTCTATAACCAGACAACTCACAGGGTCTGGCATGATGCAGCCAAGCAGAATACCCAAGCCCACTGATCTGAGCCACAGTCATGGTAATGACACCTCAGAGGCGAGCCCAAAGAGGCCCAGTGGGTCAGTGGCCCACAACAGCAACTCTGAAAATGCGAACTCTGCCATGTTCTACACAGGTCAGATTCATGTGTTTGAGCCAACTTCTGTCAGCTTTGATACCCCCATGTCCCCCTGTGTCAGCCAGGCTCCTGCCAGCAGCAACACTGCAGCAGCCAACATGGCCTCCCCAGGAGTCAACCAAGTCTCCAGCAGTACAGTGGATTCTTCCACTGGTGGATCTGGTGGCACAGAACATGCCCAGATTGACTTTGACACCATGCTTGATGATGGAGACCACTCCAGCCTAATGTCGGGCACCCTAAGTCCTGGCCTTCTGCAGAGTCTCTCCCAGAGTTCCTCACGTCTGACCACCCCTCGCAACTCCGTTACCCTTGCGTCTGTACCGGCAGGGATTGGCAACATGGCCATTGGTGACATGAACTCCATGCTCACAGCTTTGGCAGAAGAAAGTAAGTTTCTCAATATGATAAGCTGAGAGCAATCAAACCTCATCACCAACCCATTCTTACCATTTGTACATCAGGAATATAATGGACTACATGAGAAAGCACTGATTGAACAATGCAAAACTGGTTATTTCATACATTTTTGTCTTTATTGGCCATAGTAATATGCTCATCTTGTAATATTTGCTTCAGATTATAATATGTTACATTAAAATTGAATAGTAAGTATAGCTAGGGTTAAGGACCATTTTCTATCATCATTTGTTAAAAAGCCATAATTTTTAGCTACAAATATATGATAGCCCAGGGTATATGAATGCATCTACAAACAACTGCCATTCAGTATTTGCTGGTGTCAATGCCCTTTACAAAGTGGTGCACTGAAAGCAGTTCACATAGTGCCTTGCTGAGGACTGAGCGTGACATGACAGTTACCAGGAAATGGACACGACATGTAGATATCAGATAATATTTTCTCATGAAGACCTTTATGTGTATAGATTATAATGTATGGTACTTGCTTTAAGTTATGCTATAGACGTTTGATGTTTGAACTAGGGCTGTCAAAGGTACAGTATCATATCAACACCTACTATTAATTCACAAAGGATAATGAATGATTTTTTTAATGACATCAATAACATTTGTTTGTTTTTTTTCTTGAGAATTGTAAAACATATTCTCACAAGGCTAAGCAATAGTTTGCTGTAGCCTCTGTGTGCACAGCTCAAAGAGACTTGTAGTGCTAGCCTTGAACTTACACTATAAAAAAGAAATTAAAATTAATAAAGATTAACTTTTCAATTGTGACCAGGTTTAAAACTATCACATGATTTAGAAGGACAGCTATAGTTACATATGTAATTTCATACACAGAACAACTGTGTCCACCAAACCTGCTGGTGCTTAAATCAGTAAAGGTCCCATATTGTGTTTGGTTTAAAGTGTTGATCCATAAGAAGATATATTTGTGGTTTTGAAAAACCATCTCAGTGTAGTTTTACATCTCCTCTCTCAGGCTTCTCTCTGGAGCTCTAGTAACAACAGGTTGGTCAGCCAATCAGAAAAGAGGAGGCTCTGAGCTGAGGACAATGACTGCTTTGTTGTGACATCACAAAGTTACAGAAGTCCTGATGGCTGGTTTTAAGGCTCAGTTTCTGAATACAGGCTGTGTGCATTTCTCTGTGGACTGAGCGCTTTGATACTTTCACAGTATTAATATAGAACTTAGACCTGCTTTATAATCAAACAACACATGGACATCTACCTTTATACTATACGGGACCTTTAATATACATGCCTATTATGAAAAAACTATTAATTGTCATTACAGTTTACAATATATATACACTTAATTACTAAGCAAAGAGTTTCAATTACAGTTGGATTGTGGAATAAAGATTTATTTTATTCTGAACAAATTATGCTCACATTAGACATAGAGAAAACATGTATTTTTTAAAATTTGAATTAAGTCAGTATGCAGTAATTTCATTCAACCAGACATTTGTATTTGTTTGTAATTAAAATAAAGCATTTGACAGCCCTAGTTTAAACACATGGTTGTACAAAATCATAGTCCACAGATATTAAGTGCTTTTTGATCATGGTCTGAGCTCTTGGGGATGGCACTGATGAACACTGAACACATTTCCTTCTTTGCCCTCTGGATCAGAGGCACTAACTCTCCATGGTTCCATCTCACAAGGGTAAATAATTGGAAAGGACAAGGATATGCCTCTGTGTTAGTCTATCAGGGCACATGAACCCCTGTGTCTGATGAAGAGCATTCTCTAAAAGAATATACAAGTACCTCTGTGTGTTGTCAGCAGAGATCCAACCCTAATTAACGCATTCATACCGCCTCCCCTCACTGCACCCTATACCTCCCCTGGGTTCTGGATGAACTGCAGAGAGCCCAAGAAGGAACTCCGACTTTGATAATGAAATCCTGCTTCTGACAGGATTGGTGAACTAGCCCTCCGAATTCCTCAGTTTTATTATGTTTGCTGAATTTCTAAGTAGCCTTTCAAATGTTTGTGTGTATGCTCCCGTTCACTTTTACTATGCTCAATGTGTGTGGGTTTGTATGAGTGTGTATATAGCTTTTGTACATTTCAAATAAACTATCTCCTTTTTTTCTGTTTAAATCCCTTAGTTGTGTCTTCTTTGAAATCACATGGTCTGTGGTCCCCAGAGGCAACATGAAAGTAAGACCAGTATCCTACCAGTGAAATCATGCTTGGCATGTTATCACAGTTGTAGAATACGGTACTAAGGGCAAGCACCAATATATTCACTGTAACTCCAGTGACCATGTGTATTAAGGGTGCACACTTTATATACATACAGTAAAGATGATTCTTAGAACCACATTTGTATGAAAGGAATAACTTTGATATGAAAAATTGGTACACAGTGCAAAAATGTAGTGGCCATACAAACAGGTAAATATAACATGTTTTAAAAAATAATTATCATCACTTTCCAAACAGGAAATAGGACTGGGTTGAAAAAAATCGATGTTCCATTTCAAATCAATTAATAATCCGATATTGATTTATAAAATCCTGCGATCAACAATTATAAGGCCTTTTACAGTCTCCTGTGGATGTGTGTAGCTGTAACCCCCTTTAAGTGTTGTGGGACCACCCTTCTCGTGCAACAAGATCTGGTCACGTGAGAGACAAAAAATGGCAGACGCAGCTCCACTGATATGAAGGCAGATGTATGGTTGTGTGTGTAATGTACACATTAATATTTTTAATAATGCACCAGGTTTGAGGAGCAATTTACAGCATTATTTGTCTGAGAATCTCATTCATATCCAAGCAAAATTGGTATTGTAACTTAAATATCTCTAACACAATCAATTGAATCGATTCAGGAAATCAGTGACAATACTCAGCCCAAGTGATCAATAACTGGCAGTTGTTAAAAGAATGGTTTGTTCATCAACATGGTTTGGCATAGCAATTATACATCTTTAAACCTGCAATAACAGATTTCTTTTGGCCACTTGGGGGCAGCAGAAAAAAGTCGTGAACATGACATTGACATATCCACTTAAAAGGTGATGATATGTCAAACAGTTGTTTATTTACACATCCAGCAGTTACGGAGTAAAATTATCATTGTCATTTTGTGTCAACCTGATGAACGTCCTCCCCATGAATGACCTCAAAATCCTCCTTTCAAGCTCCATTTTTGGTTTAAACCAACTACTGACGGTGTTATCTGACTCTTGAGCCACAAATTGCACCACCATTTTATGCTGCGTAGGCAGTGTACAGTGGGTTTTTAGAGTTTTTATCACTGAAAACAGCTGCCTCCTTTGGCAAAACGGATGCTATGAAAGCAGTGAGAGTGACAGTCAAGTTATGCGCTGAACCACTTAACAGGGGACTAAAACTCAGTAAAAAAGCTCTATGGAGCCAAGGAGCTGGAGTTGCAGATTCACGCAATGACATTGTTTTTATATATATATATATATATATATATATGTTGTTATTTTAAAAATGTTGATTATAGCCACTTTTAAGAAAAAGCTTTTGGGAATAAGTTTTTGTGATTAAATAAGAATAAAACTGGAAAAAGCTAAAATCAGCCACTAATTAACATGTTATTTGTCATTTGTTTCATTTGTACAAAAACCAAAGTGTAAAACAAGTTATGGTTCTACATGGGATTATGTGGATTACTTGGCTAGACACAGTCACATATATCCCCCAGTAAAACCACAACGTGCCAACTTTACACTTTGGTACTAACTTCATATTTAAAGGTCTGAGAATTGTATTGATCTTGTCATCTTGCTCTCAACAAGAATGCGATCAACCACATTTTATCCATGGATTGTTCCTTTAAAGATATTTAATGAATATGCCAAACCACGTGGAGCAGTGATAGCAAACAGACCATGTTGAATTTTTGAAAAATTGCAGTGAAGTCTTTGACTAATCATTGTCCTAGGCAATTCTATAAAACTAACATAAAAGTCTGATAATAAATTTGCATCCTTGATTCTCATGCTCAACTGAGCCAAGCAGGACAGCATCATGATAGGAGAGGTTGCAAACAAACCTCTCTTTTAACCCTATTTATATATTGTTACTGGAGTATAAATGAATGCAAGAATTAAAAATAATGAATTAAAAATAATTCCTGTAAATACCTGTTACTTTTTGCACACTCCTTGCTGTTGTCTTAGAGTCGGGTCGCTTTAGATTGTTGCAGCTATGCATTAATAATAGAGGGGCAACACTTGTTTTACTTTGAAGCCCCATCTTTCCTTTCAGTGTATCTTCTTTGATGTTCTGCTAATGAAAAGACAATGTGTAACTTTAACTTTCAGTAGTTGTGCTTTTTTTTTTTCTTCATATATCCATGAACGAAAAACATATAAAACACAGTTTCTAAAGTTAGATGGCATGTTGTCCAAAATTCACAGTGGCAGGCTGGTCCCGAAGAAATGCGTCAAAGGGCAACATAAAATGGGAAAGATCAGAGAGGTGAAAAAGGGGTGCAAGAAAAAGGAGAGAGGAGAAGAAAAATCAGGAGAGAAAGAGTGAACTACTGTAAAGAAGGACAGAGCAAAGCTTGCAGAAGGTGAGAAGCAGGAGATAGATATAAAATAAGGAGATGGCGTACAAGAAAATATGTAATAATAAAATCTTAAATGATAAAATAAAATATGCAGAATGCTAAAAGAAAGAGAACAAATCACCTTTAATTTGACAGCAAATTCAGATAGGGTCTGGTTAAAAGTGAAGCTCACTGATTGCTTTTGCCACTGGAATTTCTTATTCTCTTAGAGAGAAGATGGGAGAAAAATAGCCTCAGGGTAAAGAGTCTCACTAGAGAGGAGAACAAGAGGTTAGTGAGGCAGAAATGGATGGTTAGACAAAGCACACAAATGAAGAGAAATGTGTGCCCTGAAGCACATGACTTCATACTGTAAAAGGGAACAGACAGTAAAGTACATCTGTATGTGAAACAGTGAAGGGATCATCAACGTGTTTCACTGTCAATGTTTACATACAAAATTTAGACTTTAAAAGAAAGACGGAGTGAGATTTGACATCCGCTCTTAAAGTTGCATTTTCTTTAGCTTTAGCTAAAGCTATTTGTCACATGTTTGACATGATATGATCTTACAAAGTTGACATGGTGAACATGTTGGCAAACAATGGCCATAAGAATTTGACATGGTGACCAAAGTTGATAACATGTTAGCCATAGTAACATTGTAAGGTCATTGTTTGCTAACGTGTTAGCAAATAATGACCTTACAAAGGGAATATGGCTAACATATTAGCAAACAATTTCCTTACAAATATGGCTAACATGGTAGCAAATAAGATCCTTAAAAAGTTGATATGACTAACATGTTATGAGGAGTTATGTCTCCTTAGCTCTCTACTATGTTCACTTGCTGGTAGCCAACTTCATCTGTTTACCATTTACTGTAGGTGGCAAGAAACCACATTTGGCAGCAGAGAACATTTACATACAAATGGCCCTTTTAAAATAGATGAAATATTCAGCTACATACACTGAACAAAGAATAGCCTATCAGGAGCAAAACCTTAAATCACCCAGTCTGATCTTTAATAATTGGTGACAATAAACTGGCCTCATAAATTCTACTACAGATTTTAAATAAATAAAAAACATACAGTTTTCTGTTTGTATAGCATATCTGTCCAACATCTGTCTACAGTAATTGAATTTGTTTTCAGTGAAAATAGCATCATTGAGTATTTATGATGACAAGGTCACTACTAATACATTACAGAGAACTACTGCTCTAAAAGAGGGCAGAATGAGAATTGTAGTCCTAGTACCAACAGCATGAGTCTTGTTTTAAGTCCATCCCTTATCAGTGTGTTCTAACATTACAGTTGTATAGAAAATTGCAAGTGTCCATTTGAATGCACTTCCCATTTAAAGCAGCAAAATCATG